ATGCTAGACAAACAGGGCCAAAAAACAGGGAATGGGATCCAGATACACTTGGCAACAATACATTGGGGGATGAGAAATTTTAACAGAGAAAGCCACTAGTCAGGAGCCGGCACGTGTATCTGTTTTCTATCCCTGTCTCCATTCCCTGTTTGAGTAGCTTTATTCACATGTGATTGTGATCTATTCCAATGACGGGGCGAACAAATCTCTTGGATATGTGACCTATGATCCAATTCAATGACATGTTATCAAATCTCTTGAATATGTGATATGTAACCTATACACTTTGATATGTGCTCAAAGTGCACTTTGACAAGTCACGTATTCAAGAGATTTGGTCACCGAAACTCGATGACCGACCTACACACCGTCACCATCACCACGTGGAAATTGATCAACCACCAATATTTCGCCGCAACCACCACTATTGCACTACCACCGTTACCACTAACAACCCAACAATAAGGTAAATCACCAACGGCAAAACTCCCCTCTTCAACCTCTAAAAATCCATTGCAAAACACCAACTTCCGGCACCATGGTCGTCGAATTCCACCACCAATAAACTCCCATCTTCAACCTATACAAATCCATTACAAACATCAGCACAAACAACAACCAAATCAGACAAAAAAACTGGCTTAAAATCCGCAAGCACCCCACGTCCTCAATCCAGATTCCTGCCACTCCGGCGAACCACTGATTCTCCTCACAAAGGCGACCAATTTCATGGTCTTCATTCATCAAAACCAATCCCACACATCGATGCCCAGAATTAAATAATTTTCCACTCGTGAACGGTTTCTGCGAGAATAGGCAATCAGTCAATTGATGGACTAAATGCATTCCAAATGATGAATTCTACCCAACATCCAATTGAGGTCCATAATACTGTGGGTAATCCATCAATTTAACCAATTAACCAACCAATTGATCTAATTTTTGGGACATATTCTGGAAATTTCTGTTCGAGCATTCATTATCTCTCCCAATTGACGACTCCAATATGCATCAATACAACAATTCTGCTGGGTAAAACCAATGGAAGTCCAAATCATGGAGTCGGAGAGTAAGCGGGGAGAATCTCAACCAATTGACGACTCCACTATGCTTCAATACAACAATTCTGCTGGGTAAAACCAATGGAAGTCCAAATCATGGTGTCGGAGAGTATGCGGGTAGAGAGATGTCGCAGGATTAAATTGGGGTAGAGTGAGAGTGAGAGTGAGAGTGAGAGATGAGTGGAGTAATATATTTTAGAAGAAAACTTCTGAGTACAGAATTTTTTGACAGATTTTTGCCTGAAATTTGAAATACTTTAATCATGTCGGTGTGTGTATTTTCCGTCGTCTAGTCTTTCAATCATTTCCCTTCATTTAATCTCAACCAATTGACGACTCCACTTTGCTTCAATACAACAATTCTGCTGGGTAAAACCAATGGAAGTCCAAATGATGGTGTCGGAGAGTATGGGGGTAGAGAGATGTCGCAGGATTAAATTGGGGGTAGAGAGAGTGTGTGAGTGAGAGATGAGAGGAGTAATATTAATTTTGATTAAAAACCTGATTTATGCACAACTATTTTAGAAGAAAAATTCCGCGTACAGAAATTTTTGACAGATTTTTACCAAAAATTTGAAATGCTTTAATCATGTCCGTGTGTTTATTTTCCCTCGTCCAATCTTTCAAATTTCTGTATGTTTTGGGTGAAAAATTCTTATACTCATAACAAGGTTGTGTAATTTCCACTTTGACAAATAAGCTCGGCATGGTCCGCTCATGATGGCCGACCAAATTGTGAACCACCCCAGTATGATTTTCTTGCTTGGGCCTAAGTTGCCCAGCTCATCTCGAAATGGGCCAAGCTTCCAGGGCCTTAGTTAAAATGGGCCGGGTCGGTTCAATTTTGTGAGTCTCATTGTCCCTACACAATGAAAAGGGATATCTGGAAGTGATAGATAATGGCATTGATTGTGAGGCTGCCTTTGGTTCTTCAACTTTCATGTCCATTTGGGCATCATTTTAAGAAGAGGCAGTGGGCTACGATTTCCAACTCAAAGAGAATATTAGGCTTTTCCATGGCTGAAATGGCAGCTGATAGTGAGCCATCCAAAGTGATTGACTCACATTTGCATGTTTGGGCATCACCTCAAGAGGTAAATATAAAGCTAATTCTGAATATGAGACTATAAATTTTCTTAGTTTTTTTGGCTTTGATTATTAGGCTGCCGAGAATTACCCCTACTTTCCTGGCCAAGAACCCACTTTACCAGGTCATGTCGAGTACTTGCTTGAGGTATGTTGTAAATTATAACTTTTTTATGTGGAAGATAAGTTCATATGAAATGCTTAATTGTACATGAATTATCTTGCGATAATTCCAAGTGTTTTATGATGAATAAGCCCTTGGTTTTATTATGATAATGTAATTTCTGATCGAGATTTATTATAGCTTTTTTATGGAAGATAAGCTCATATGAAATGCTCAATTTTGACGAATTTCCTGTGATTATTTAAGTTTCTTATGTTGGATATGCCCATGGTGTTATTATGATTATTCTGATTTTTTTTGCTTGATAGTGTGATTCTTGAATTTTCTCCCACTTTTTCTTGGGGGTGAGGGCCTGGTGAATTAGTTAATTGAGAATAACTGTTCTTAAAACATGAGTCCTAGATATTCTGAATTTTTCTTTTCCAGTATGTATCTATTTATGTAGGGGAAATGTGATATTAGAAATATCATTTATACTGAAAAAAGACATGAATTATTGCAATTGAATGATATCTTAGCATTTTCTGCAGTGCATGGAAGAAGCTGACGTTGATGGTGCACTCATAGTACAGCCCATCAATCACAAGTTTGATCATTCTTATGTAACTAGGTTAGTTGCTTATGCCTACTTAGATAAACTTCCGTGAATACTATGGTTATGGTCATGAAAAATCCAAAGTAGTATCTAACACGATATATCATAATAGCACGTCTCATCATCTCTGTCAAATTAGTGGCGGTATCGAAGAGCTATTTGATATATATAGCTCTAGATAAATTTTGTTATTTGGGAATAGAATGTCTAATCTTGAGAATATCGTAACAGTGTGTTGAAGAAACATCCATCCAAATTTGTTGGTTGTTGCCTTGCAAATCCAGCAGAAGATGGAAGCGGCATCAAACAGCTTGAAAATCTCATTTCGAAGGTTCGAAGAATCTTAAAGCATCATATATCAGTGTTTTGTCATATACAGATCCTGTTAACATAGAACTGAAATCAATGCTAGGATGGGTATCGTGCTGTTCGCTTCAATCCATACTTATGGCCACCTGGGCAACCGGTACGAATATTCACAAAGTGACCTTTCAGCTGACTTTTACAACTCTGAATTCATTTATGTTTTGATTTTTAAAACATTTTGCACGTTTAAGAAAAGCACGAGTAGTGTGTATTTTTCTTTTTGGATTTTTAGGGAAAAAAATCGTTGCACATTACTCCAATTCCTTGAAAATATATAGTGATAAATGGAAGTTAAAGAGGGCGCTTATGATCATCATGCTCTTTATTTTGATATCAGAGGGCCAGAGGCCAGGGGCCCATACCCTTGACCAATACTGATGAGAATTTGACTCCATGAGAAATTGAAGAAAAAAGCCATCTAATTGGCCTATTTCTCATACATCTAATGAAGTCTTGAAAAATGGAAACAAGGAATGAAGAATGAACATGTTTTTTTCCCGAGTTTGCCTTTTGGGTTTGAGTAGGTGGGAGCATTTTCTTGTGGCTTCTAACTGTTATTTGCATACAGATCTACCATGTTCGAGAGAATTTGGTTTTATCCTCTAATCTTGATCAAATACTTGTCTATTGTATATGCCTTAAAAATCTTGTTCCGCCCACATTAATTGAAGGTGCAAGAAGAAGATAAAATATATTGACACTCATGGTGAACTAATTATTTTCAGTGATTAATTCAGATGACTAATGAAGTTGGGAAAGCAATGTTCTCCAAAGCCGGAGAGCTTGGGGCACCTGTTGGTTTCATGTGCATGAAGGTATTTACTCTTGTAACTACAAGCAGTATTATATTCTGATGAAGGTGTTGTCATTTCATGTATGAAATATTTATGGATCTACCCATTTGGTCACTCGATGCTCAATATTCTTTACACGCTGCTACATATTCATTATTCATGGCACTACTTAACTGGATCCACTGATATGGAAATTCTCATCTCCAGGGTCTTAATATGCATCCAGAAATTGAACAACTCTGTGAAGAATTTCCTTCAACAGTTGTTCTGCTTGATCATGTAGCCTTCTGTAAACCCCCAACGTAAGCTGCCAATAAATAAAATATTTCAAAAGAAGAGCGCGTATTAGATAATAATTTTCAGTTTTTATGTGTTTTATACTGCAGAAATGATGAGGAACGACAAGTCTTCAATGAACTGTTGAAGCTCTCCAGATTTCCACAGGTAAACTTTTGCTGGATATCTTAACATGCTTTTTTTATACCTTGGATATGTAGACTCCAAATATTTTTCACCACACTTTGTAATTCTATACTTATCAATAGATGAAAAATTGTTGTGACAGGTTTATGTAAAATTCAGCGCCCTCTTTAGAGTGTCTAGAAATCAATATCCATTTGAAGATCTATCCGAACTTCTTTCGAAGATAGTCTCCAGCTATGGTGCCAACCGTGTGATGTGGGGAAGGTAACACAGTAATCCATGGAATTATTTTGCCCGTAGAAGAGATTTGAACAATCTTGGAAACTCGGAATAAAAGATTACTGTCTGAAGGTTTCTATTTTTCAACTTTTTGCAGTGACTTCCCTTATGTAGTTCCTGAGTGTGGCTATAAAGAAGCAAAAGAAGCAGTATGTCACCTCGCCCAACAAGTGCATTTATCGCCATCGGAATTGGAATGGATCATGGGTAAAACGGTGAACCAAATCTTTAACAAGCAGTGTTTCTCTTTGTAGATGTTAGTTGAAGTTGGCATTCTTCCATTATATAACCAAATCTTTGAAATGTTAATTGAAATTATTTAATAATGAACTCCTTGTAAGTAAGTAAACATGAACTGAAAGGATTTGAATCGGGTCTTATTGTACAAGCGTTTGAGCTAGAGGAACAACAATACTTCTTAAGAATTATGTTTACCCTGTTTTTAACCTCCTCAGTGGTAATCTTGATATATACAAGAGCGTATGGAACTGACCATGGACTATGTACTGGAAAACAATGTAGAGTATGAACTCTCAGTTTCTTGGACCATCAATCATGGGTTTAACCGACGGGTGTTATCACGTTCATGTCATCCACCACCCAACAAAAGGTGTGGGCAACTCCAAAGAATTAAGAGTTGAGAAAGATAAATATTATTATTCAGAATTTAAAAATAAAAAATGAAAATTGAGTGAACTTATTTGGCGTAATTCCGTTATTCTTTGTTGATTTGCTAATTGTATAAAAAATGTCTATACAAAATCATTGAACGATCCCCACTCGAATATGCCTCTAAAAAAAAACCAAAACCGGAAAAAAATTAATCTGTTTTTAACTCCCCTTACATCCTTATCAGAGATATACAGCAGGGCGCCAGAGAAACTATAATAAAAGAATGAACTTCCTAAAAATTCTATACAGACAGAAACCTCTACAACAGATGATGGTGACAGGAGAGATTAATCTTCTATACGCTGTATCTCGCCCATCAGGATCCGATTGCTAGTCACTTTGAATCCTAGAAGAGCAGGATCAATTTGTCTACCTTTCTTCCCCTTCTTTTTGCTGTTTTTTGCCCCCATTGTCATGTCCGATGACTCTGAAGCTCCGGCAGCTGGTGCATTACTTTCTTGAGGAGCTGGTTTCTTAGCATTGCTTTTAAGCATGTCACTGAACGATGTCTCCAGGACATCAGCATCACCACAAGAAGAAGTCCGTTGAAACTGCATGGCCTTCTTGCCAGATGACACACTCTCAGAATTTCCTGGATTCCCTCCAGTTTCTCCTCTCATGCCTGAAAGTAAGGAGAAAAATGAAATGAATAATTAGAAATGAACAAAAAGGAGAAAAATTAAAGATGTCAATTCTTCTGTTACACAAAACACAACCATGAGATTAACTAATTCTCTGGCAATCAGTGGCACCATCAATCTACCTGATAACTTACATGATAGCCAAATATGTGGACCGTGTACCATTTAACTTATCTAGGCAGCAAAGCACAATAAATCAACTTACACCCACAAGGAAGTTAACCCACCCATTGGAAAATGGAAGGAACTAACATGTGCTATTGAGTGCCATATTACAATGATAAATAAAAAAATAGAAGACAAAAAATTGACAACACCCTTTCCTACCGTCAGAAGGTATAGCATTTGAAATTTGTTTTCCTCCAGTGACAGAATCAGCAGTCAGCTCAGACAACCCTCCCTGAGCAGATGCAGCACGTGAGACAGGTGGACGTCTCAGCAAGATGTTTTCCGGCATTTTTGATGAGCTGGATTGCAACCTACTCATAATAACAAGTGTAAGAAATGCTGAATTAAAAGATATATAGAGAAGATAACAAAATATAATAGGAAAAAAAAAAAAGTAACAGCAAGAAATATGAAGAAAAATTCAGCGACTACAAAGATTAATTTGAATGCGGAAATATCTATAGCTACCTTCATGATTTCCAACGAAACATGTCACGTGTTAAAATTAAAGATCCTAGAAAAAGCCCAGATATAAAAAATTAGTGGGACTATAGTTCCCACCTAGACAACAATCTATAAACTACATTAAACATTAAATCCCAAATAAAGTCCAACAGTAGGAATTACAGTTCCGAGAAAACAATATAAGATTTCACCAAAATAAATTTTCCATGGAACTTTGACAAAGCTGCAAAGAATTCAATTAATGACTAGGATTTCTCTAACCATAGCAGTAAAGAGCAACCAAGCTTGTTCTTACCTATCCTTAGCAGCCTCCTCCGAAAAAGAATTGGCTGAATGAAACCCTGGCCACAGTTCAGAAATTTAGTCAATCACGTTTAGGTGGGAAAAACGAAAAAGAAAGCGACCAAGAACAGAAAGTTACCAGTAGAGCGAAGTGAAGTATGCCGACTAAGTAAATTAACAGGCACTTCCCCACTATCTATAGCTGCCAGGCCAACCCGCTCAACTAGGCCAGCTTGAGACATTGAAGCTGATTCCTGAATATCACCATCTTCACTAATGAGTATTTAGGTGATGTTCTCCATATTCAATAAATTTACAAAGAATAACAATATTTAGTGCTAGAGTTGTTGTAGATTACCTGAGAGCTTTCATCAATTCCAGGAATGAAATATTCTCCAGATTTTGATCTGAAAGGCAATCCACCTTGTTCCAGAACACTGGTCATTCCATCAGCTAGTTGATCCTGAGGTAGTCCGCCTGAATCAGAACCATAAGACCCAATGGTAAAGGAGTGGCTGGTACCTGCTTCCTGATCTGAGAGAAAAGTAATTGAATGATTTGTAGCACCTGTCCCAGAAGAAGGCCTTCTGTCATTGGATACTTCATTGGTCGCATCAAAGGGTTCACCTGACTGATAGCCCGATTTCTGATGCAGTAATTCCATGAGCAGCCGCTTTGAATTGTCATCATTTAATCCAGATGACATCCATAAACTGGGATCTTCTGTTGTCCTGTTGACATCCAATTCCCTCTTGTGCCTCTCATTATCATGATGTAGTTGCTGAATTCTTGATTCAATCCAGTCATTGGATAACTGACTATGATTCTCAGACCAGTGACCCTCAGTGGTGTCTAAGTGCGGAACATGAAATTGTTTGCGAATTGAAGGTTGGTGTGAATGCTGAGAGTAGACCCCTGATGAGAATCTAATCTGCTCCTGCATTTCTAAACCATGAGCTCGGGCCATGGAATTCATAGCATCTAGGTTTACGCCAGCAGCACCATCAGGTAGTGACATTGAGCGTTCAAAAGGCAGCATACCATGGTCATAAGTTCCTAGTTGGAGTCTATCTTGTAATGAAGCTTGTCGTTCAAGATGGCTGAGTTGCTCCTCAGCAGATGCTCTTTGTTGCTGATAAAGGTCTAATGGGCTGAATACAGCAGAGCCAGCTCGATGAGTAGTGGCAGGATTTCTAAGGAACTGACTGGCTTCATCAAGAGGCCACCCATGACTAACTTGCCTGCCTTCTTCCATTTCCAAACGCTGCCTGAGCCCCAGTGGCAGAGATCTTCCCTGCAGCTGCTCTAGCTGATCCAGGGTATGAATCTGCCTATGATTTCCACTGGATAACAGCTCCGATAAATCATTGGGATGCCCTTGGTGGGGCATTTGCCCAAATTTTGCTTGTATGAGTTGCTCCAGGGATGAGTCAACATGCCTTGGTGGAAAATGGGAATGCTGTTGCATATCACTGAAAATTTGCTGCTTCAATATTGCCTGTTCAAGAGCACTGTCCGCCCTAAGAGCATCTATAGGCGGCTGCCCTCGGCCAGAGTCCCGAAGTGGATTCTGCAGTAGCTGCTCAAAAAGAACCTTTCTGGCTAGGGACTGTTGTTGCTCTTTAAATAACATTTGCTGTTGATGGAACTGTAGTTGCTGCTGCTGTTGAAGCTGCAATTGCCTCTGCTGCTGCAACTGAAGGGCCAAAAACTGCTCAAGATCTTGCCCAATTGGATTGGCTAATTGTTGGTGATGTATCACATTCTGACTTGGCACTCGTTCTAGCATCGCCTCATTCAGCTGTGCATCATGGACAGGCATCAAATTATGTTGATGATGATGACGCTGTTGCTGCTGCAGTTGGTTGGACAATATCTTGTCCTCTAAATTAAAGCGGCTATAGTCTTGGTCCATGCGCTGGCGAGCCTCCAAGACATCTTGAAATAAATTGGGATCGGAAAGAGTATTTCTACCATAAACATCCGGCCATGTCTCTGTGGCACGAGTTGAATCAGCCATTGAACTAGAAGGGGCAAATCTTCCAGACACATGGTTTAAATTTTGATGATCCCCAACATGAGCATTAACTAGAGCATTTGATGACTGACCATTCTTAGCATAAGTACTTTCAAGCTCAGACCACAACCCAACAGGATGCAACTTATTATCTTTTTGACTTGAGATCCCAGAGTCTTTCAGTTCAGTAGGAAGAGTTGGCTGGTTACCAAAATTGCCAGAAGTTTCACCAAACTCCCTAAAAATTTTCCCAGAAGGATTGCCACCACTTCCAGGTCTGGCGGGAAACACAATTTCTGCTATAGTGGAAAGAATAGTGAAGAGGATTAGATAAAATTGCAACTTACTTGGTCGTCAGAATTAACAAGCACAGATTTAAGTTAAACAAACCTTCATCTTGGGCAGCAAAATCATGGAAATTTCCCGGGGAATACAACCTTAGTGATGGATGACTATGATGTTCAGGTACTTCTGACTCACCATGCTGTAATGAGAAAGAAGCAAAATCAGATAACTGCCAACTCGGACCATCTAATGCAGTAGAGGAAACAGATTCATAAACAGGAGCAGATGCAGAAACGTGTAAACCAACCTCTGATTTCCCCACCAATGCAGATTTTTCCATATCAGAACTTAAATCAGTAATAGTATCATATCCATGTTTATATTTCAAATGTGGCATAATGTCACCCAATTCCTGGAAGGATGCATCGTCAGGAGCATCTTCCAAGCGAACAGGCAAATCAGTCCCAAAAAATCCTTGTTCAAACCATGAAATGATGTCCACTCCAAGGAAAGGTCCCTGTATAGCTCCTTGTGGATCACGATAGTATAAACCTAATTCCTCAGGAAGGATTCTCCTTTCTAACTGATTTTCAGAAGTTCTGCTGCCAAATTTATGCAGTAGACTGCCATCCCAATACTGATCGGAAGATGGAGTACCAAATAGGGAATTCGAAACATCAGGCATTTTATTAATGGAAGCGTCCAATAATGTAGAAGATGAACC